GATCGATGAGGATTATGGCGTTTGAGGGGGTGGAGAGGGCGGTCGCGATGATGAGGGTTATCAAAGAGGTTTTTCCGGAGCCGGAGGGTTGGTGGGTGGAGGGAGGGGGGAGGAGAGAGTCGAGGGGGGGGATGTTGAAGTAGGTGCTGGGAATGTTTTAGTTCGAGGTCTTGACGATGAAGGGCAGAAAGGAAACGGACTTTTGGTTGTTGGTTGGATGGACTAGACGGAGGGATTTGAGTACCTATTTTTATTTTCTCGTGTTAGAAATATTAAATCATGTTGTGTATGTTTTTGTTGTTGTTGTCGTGATGATATCTACGTACCGAGTTCAAATCCATAACCTGAACATCTGCCAGCGACTTCTCACCGAATCTCCTCGCCTCGTCCCCGTTCATCATCTTTTCTTCCTACAACCCCCGTTCCTTTTTTTTCTGAGCCTGATATTTCAATCCTTAATTCTCTCTGGACACTATTTATAGCAATCTTCTTGCTATCGAAAACAGAATGGCACCACCTGTTTCCGCGATTCCGGTCTCGGAACTGGAAATGCAGCTGAATACGCTTCCGTCTGGTCGAGCGCGGAATCCACCAATTACGCTAAGCGAGTGCGCGCTGAAAGAGCTGGTGCAGTACAAGTGCAATGTACAACCCGCGGAGAAACGAGGGGGCGTGCCGAGTGTGGTGTGTGAGCCTGTTGTGCGGATGCTGAGAAGGTGAGTGGTTGTGTGAGATGTTTGTTGAAAGAGCTTGGCAGCTTGATTGGTGGTAACGAGAGATATGGACGGGCTTCTTTTTTTTCGTCAGAAGCTGAATATGATACTAACAGTCTCTCAGATGTCAAGGAGGACTGAGTGTCGAGACGACTGCTTGGGAAGGGTGGAAAGCAAAGCAGGAAGGCGCGACCAGCTAGACACGAGCAAGTTGCCACACCATCATGCATGGAACCTTTCAATAATCCTAAACGCAGATAGATCTGATGAAAAATCACATGACATCGATTAGCCACTGCATTCACTGCATTCACGGTAAATGACACGAAACAATGGATACGTAATCAATTGATGAATAATAAGACGATGCATCAATGCCGCTACCATGGGACAAGCAGCTATAGTACAACCAACTTCCTCCAAGAAAGTGAACAAAAACGTGATCAACGCCGGTCAAATGCCCTAAACGTGCCTTCATATCTCCAAGGCGGGAATGTCCGAATACCCAAACGCCTCGCTACCAAAATGCTTCAATATGCTTTTTCTTTCTTTCTTTTACACAGTGTGCTGCCACCGAAGAGCTGGCGTGATGACAGATATTAGACGCCGCTCCCGGATTTTCTCCAGTATTTGCGCTCGTAGTTGACGTGTACGCCTTCTTCCAGATTGACGCTACGATCGGTTGTAGGCTGCCGTGTTGGAGCATCATGTGATGTGTTCCAACCGTCATCTTCGTCCAGGTCCATCTGTGCCTGTCGTCGTTCCTCGTCCTTTTCGCGCTGGTGCTCCTCGTTCAACAAATCCGTCATGGCTGCTTGCCATAACTTGTCGCTCTCTTTCATGCGCTTGCTTCGCTTCCGCTTTCCCACATTCTGCTTCTGAACGCCCGCTTTTTGTGCTGCCATGAGCTTTCTAAGACTCTGTTCGGCCAAGATACCCTCCTCGGTTGCCTTTTCCCGAATCTTTCGCGGGTCATGTTCGCGGTTGGTGAAGACTGGTGTCGCAGAATATGTGTGCTTGGAGGGGAAGCCAGGAAAGTGTTCTGGGATATAAGGGCGCGTCTCCTTGTCTGCCTTGCCCGATAACTCGGGGCCTAACAAGGATTCGGTATCTGGGGGCGGGGCTTCTGGGGGTACGGGAGGTGCAAAGTAGGGCTGTAGTAGCGATGGAGGAACTTCGCCAGTGTCGAAATGTTGGTCGAGGGGTGCCGATCCGCGTAGACCCGAAGATGCCAGCGCGTATATCCAGTCGTGTGCCACTGTTTCGGTGCGGCGCGAACTGATCATGGACTTGCGCACTTGGGCTAGAAAGTGGCTCATGTCTGGGTCAGGTTAGTCTGGGAAACTCTAATGGGCTGTGTAGCCAGCTGGCGTCGCAAGGTGAAGCCATACAGGAATCAACCAGCGCCCGGAACTGCTCCAGCGCGTCCGGGCGCGCACCCTCGAATCCCATGCTCTTGCATTGTATCGCTATTGCGCGCCGCAATTGCTGATCGAAAAAGTCCTTGCTTTCACCAAAGCTATCAAACTCGGCGCTGACAGGGTCGACGATGTGCTGGACTGGCTGCGTGTGGTGCAGTGCATGCACGACTCGCCGCTTCTTCTGCTGCGGCTCCCCATGTGTTGGCGCGTTGTCCGCCACATGCGCTCGTTTCATGCCTGCGGTTGCGCCCTCGCTGCTGGCGCTGGGAGAGAGTATGATTCCTGGCATATGCTGCTGGTGATCCCGGGTTTGGTGTTTGGGGAGGGGGTTGGTGATGTCGCAGGCCGGATGCGTGTACGCGAGGTTGGTAAAGTTATCGGTCGATGGGCGCGCAGTCGAGCGTGAGAGATGGCATGGGCTGCAAAGGCATGCACCTGCGATTGAGCCGGACGTGAATGTGCGAGAGATTCGGCGATCGATCGATGTTATTGTCCCCTTCACTTGTTTGCTGGCGTCGTGATTGAGTCGGAAGCTCTGAGAGCGCAGGGCGCTAGGCCACTTTGCCTTACGTCAGCAGCAGCAGTAGTTCTCCGTCGAGCCACCACAACTTCAGCATACCCGCAGACGACCTTTACCAGCTCCCGCAACCCGCACCCGCGTCCCGAAACTCTCCACTCCCCCGAAAGCGAATTCAAAATGGCCATCAAACCGATTACCGGCGTATGTGCTGCCATTGAGTGTCTTGGGCAGCAGCGGGCATGAGGCTAATGACTGGATTGCAGATGCTCAAGCGACAGATCGTGCTCGATCTCTCTGTTGCCATGGGTGCGTAGAGCTCTTGCAGTGCATGCGCGACGATTTATGGGCCTTGAAACAGGCATATGGGGTTGCGCGCGGGTTTGGGAAGCTTGACTAACAGTGAGGGCAGGTATTGGCGTCGTTGCCGGCTACGGCTGGTGGTACGGTACGTGATATCATCCTGGACTTGCAACCGCGAAGACTGCTGCTACAACGAAATTTACGACTCGATACTTACGTTCCAAGGCTACCACGTTCCCGCCGTTCGTCACCGTGACGCTTTCTACCAGAAGCTCGAGGACGAGCGCGCATCAGCTCTGGGCCAGAAATAGACGACTAGCATGCAAGCGTCGGCATGATGTCTTTGTCAATTAATCATCAGATGATGGAAAGGATGATGGCTGTGGATTGGGTGTATCCCAAGTAGAGTGGAGTCATAGAGCAAGCCAAATCAAACACGGTCAAACAGCCCTACACGTGTGTTGTTTGCGTGCAATCATATCTTGATATTACGACTTGTGTTTTTTTTTGGATGAAATTGCAACTTGTAACGCTCGAAGTGAAATCTATATGCTCACTGCCATCTTGACAGGTCGACCTGACATGTCATACTTGTGTTCAAACTAATGATGTTCGCAGACGTGATAAGGATGCGGGGCTGTATGGTATGGGTGTGGATGGATGGTCAAATGAAAGAAGAGACTGGATCGACATCTCAAGGGGCCAGTCATGAGCTGGTGCGCAGGCATCAAGGGTGTTAGAGTGCTACTGCATCTGTTGTTGTTGACTGAGATTAGTCACATGACGAATGCGAACATCAGGTTGTGCAGTGGAGCCTTCGGCAACATCCGACGGCGGTGCATCCAAGAGGGCCAGGGAAAGGTTGCGTGATGAACAGTGATACGAGGAGTACGAGAAGACTTGTACTGAAGCAGCATGCAAAGCAAGAATAAGTTGGTGCAGATGATAGCGGCATCCGCGACGGGCCGGGAAGCAGTGCAGTGAGGGTAGTGGATGGTTTATGGTACTCTACCTTGGAGGAGGCGTGACGTGGGCAATGGGTAAGGAGGCATGGCGCGATATGCAAGCATGGAAACAGGTACATGTGTGTGTGTGTGTGTGTGTGTGTGTATACTTGGTTGGAGGGCGATTCGCACTGGGGGCAGAGATGGCGAGGGCGTCTGATGACCGTGGGGGTGTGAAGCAGCGGTGGCCGAGCAGGAAACGTGTCGGGCAAGGCGTGCGATTGGCTGCATGGCTGGCTTGGTTCGTTCCCTGGCGATCACGACCAACCCATGGTGGTGGCTGCAGGGGAGCGAAGGCACTGGCCGCCAAGGATCGACGTGAACCCAAAGCGTGGGCAGGCCAGGCAGGATTCAGCAGCCATTTGCACACGTGGATCGAACGAAGCTGATGATGGAAGGACAGGCGTGCTGACAGTGAGCAGAGAAAGTGGCAAGGGGTAGGCAAAAAGCAACATCAGGGGGGGCAATGGTTATCGACGTCGAACTGGGAACCAGAGGCGAGTGCTTTGACAGCGGCCTTGCTGGCTCGGAACGGGGGGTGGATTCCTGGCGTGCGGCGTCCTAGCGTTAGATGCTAGTCCTTCACCATGCGCTAGGGCAACGGGTAGTCGATCTAAGAGGCAGATTGAGGGTGGGCGTGAAGAAGAGGCGAGATGCGACGTTTCTGTGTTTGAGCAGGGAGGGCAGGGGGGGGGGGTGCATGGGAAAATAAATGGTTTTGTGTTGAGCGAAACAGAGGCGCTGTAAGGGCGGGCATGGAGGCCACGTGGTGGAGAGGGGGAAGAAGGGCAGCAAGGGAAGTGGGTGGCGGAAGCAGCGGCGGTGATTTGTGAGGAGGATGAAGGGAAGGTGGTGTAAGAGGGAAAGGGACTGGACTTGACTTGGGAGGTTTACTTACTTGGGTGTTGACTTGGGAGATTAGTCGAGCGACTTGGCTGGGGTCCAGGTCATTTCAGCGGTGCGAGGTAAGCAGATTGGACTCTTTGCCCTGATCACCGGCCGAGCGAGGAGCGGGGCGTGTGTGGGCTTTTGCGCATCGTCGACGCCATGGCGTGCGGGCGGGCCATGGGCACCGGGGTTTTGATCACAGCAGAGGGTGAAACGCACATGGACGGGCGTCGACACAAGGGCAGCACAGGCAGGTTGTGAGTTGCAGCAGTTGTAAAACAAGAGGCAAACCTAGTAGAATGGGCGCGGGTGCAAGCGCGTGAGCAGCACGAGGGCAGTTTGGTGGCTGCGGAAGATTTGGTGGGGACTGCGAGGCGCTACTAGACGGCCTGTCCAGGGCCCACGCCTGTCGCCTTTCCGCTGGGAGGCGTGCCCGGAGGCTGCCCAGAGGCCCAGATGGCTTGCTGTCAGTCACTCCCTCCGTCAGGTGTGCAGACTCAGATGGCGACCAGGGTCACGCTGGTGACTCGGTGCGTTGGGTGCGTGGTGAACAGACGGGCGGACGGCCGTTGGGCTGGCGCTGTACTGCACTGCTCCCCACTGTGAGTGACAAGTAGGTATCGAAGTAGGCGGGTACCTTGTATATACACAATATACACAGTGCACACATGTACAGCCATACATGCACGTACATGTACGTACACTACACACACATACAGCAGCCATGGTTACAGACACATGTACTGGCGCTGCAGTCATGGCCGTCCCTCTGCTGCGGCGGCGAGACGAGGCGCTAGTCTGCTTTGGGGACAGCGCAGGCCTTGCTGAGCGTTAGAAGACGGGGGGGACTGGCTAGCACGCATAGCGATCCCTGCAGGCAGGTGCGACGGCGCCGGGCGCACTTGCTCTGTGCATGCCCTGCACCTGCCTGCTCAGCCAGCACGCCCGACTGCTGTTGCCATTGCTGGTGCTGCTGCTGCTGTTGTTGTCGCTGCTGGTGCTGCTGCTGGTGCTGCTACTGCTACTGCTACTGCTACTGCTACTGCTGCTGCCGTTGCTGTGTGCTGCTGTCACTTCGTCGCCAACCACACAGCACCTTGACGAAACTCGGAGAACCGCCGCTGCCTGCCTGCGACGCGTCCTCGTCCTCGTCCTCGTCCTCTACCTGCCTTCCCCTACCTACTCTTACCCTCTCTTCTCTACCACTTACTTACGCCCACACTACCACTACTTTTCCTCCCTCCCCCCATCCCTTCCCCCGCCGTATCGCTGCCCTTTTTCATCTGCATCGACGCGCACCCCCCGGCCTCTGCCACCGCACACAATCTAGGCGCCTTAGGCTTGGATGCTGCGACTGCTGCGACTTCTGCTGCGCTAACGCCGCCGTCGATCACACACCAACGAGCCGCAGCTGGCGAGCTGTCGACTTACTGCTGCTGCTGTGCCCTTGCCCTTGCCCTTCACCCTTCACCCCAAGCCTCGCTCGTCGTGTTGGCTGCATGCTGGCCCTGCCCTTACCCATCCTCCTCTGCCCCCCACAGCCTGCCTGCTCTCGTCCACGCATACCCGCACACTCCCTCTCTCGACCTAACCCACATCGACTACTCTCTCCTCCTCCCTCAGGCCCGTCATCTTCACCGCCCGCCCGTGGTGCCTCTCACTCGCCTACTCGACGCCCGTGCCCGTCCCGCCGTCTGCCGTCTGCCGCATCACTCCAGTCCGCGTCCTGCATGAGTGTTGCTCTTCTCTACACCTCTGCGGCACCGCACCGCCGTGTCTAGAGCCCATCGTACCGCCAGTCTGCCTGCCAGCTAGCGCGTCCCTAACCCTTTGCGCGTCGCCATGAACAACCCAAACATGCAACAGAACGGCATGCAGCAAGGTCGCGCCACCGCCGGCATTCACCACTTTGTCCAGCACTATCGCGTCCAGCAACAGCAGGGCAAGATCCCCACAGGATGGCAGCAGACGACGTCGCCCGACGAGCGCGGCCAGCTCGCTCTGCAGTTCTTCACCCAGTACCGCCTGCTCAAGCCTGATATCCCAGAGGTCGAGTCGATGCGAGCCGCCCTCCAGTTTGAGACACAAAACTTCATGTCGGCCCCTTCCAAGGAACAGTACCACTCGCAAATTAAGCAGAAACTTATCGTCATGACGACCGCACGCCAACAGCAGCTGCAGCGCCTCCAGGGCGGCATGCCAAACAACATGAACAACGCCATGAACGGCATGACTCCAGCCCAGATGAACATGATGAACCAGATGGGCCAGCAGGGCGCGCGCCAGCCCCAACCACAACAGTTCAACCCGGCATTTCCAAACGCTCAGCTTCAGCGCCCCATGCAAGTCTCCCCTGTCCCCATGACACAAGGCCAGTCTTCCATGGGCGTCAACGGCGCCAACCCCGTCAACATGGCCCAAGGTCAAAACGCCCAGCAACCAAACATGCAACCCAATCAGCAGCAAACACGACAGGAGCAGTTGATTATCAACCAGTTTGCGAAAAAGTTGATGGATACTTGCAAAGAGGAGGTTCGCGTCAAGTTTGAGAATGATGTCCGCGCCTGGCCTGAAGACAAGAAGCAGCAGTTGCTCAACCAAGGAATCAACCCCCTCTTCCTCCGCTTTCGTCAGCATGCTGAGATGCTCTACCGAAGGGGCGCGCTGAATCAGCCCGCAGCTGGCCAGAATAATGTCGCCATGCAGGGAACACCTCAGCAGAACCGCATGCAGGGACAGCAGATGAATATGAATCAGCGCCAAGCCAATCAGGATTTTGATTTCACTGAAATCGCCAATCGGCAAATGGAGGCTATGCGAAGCCAGGACCAAGGTACAACTGTAGTACCTGCGAGCAACAACCCAAACAACGGTGGGCAAATGGGCGGATTCCAAGGTCAGAATCCACAGCCTGGCCAAGCTCCAAATGCAATGGCACAGCGCCAGGCAGAAGCGTTTCACCGCCAGGCACAAGCGCAGCAGGCACAACAAGCACATGCTCAAGCTCAGGTGCAGGCGCGGTTAGAACAACAACGCCAACAGCATGTAGCTCAAGCAGCGCGTAACCAGCAGAATCAGTTACTGCAAGGCCAGATTGGCGGCTTGAACCTCCCGCAGGGCACTCAGCAGCCCAGTCCTGCCATGCCTATGCTGAACCGGCCAATGCCTCCACCAGGTCAACCAGGCCCTCCAGGAACGCCGCAGCAACGTCCACCCCAGGCTCATGTTCCCATCATGACACCACAGCCCGGGCAGGCTGATCCAAACTTGACCGAGCTCATGCGACAAGCGCAGCAAAGAGCTGCTGCTGTCCAGCAGGCCAACCAGCAACCGCTGACCGATCAAGTCCGCATGAACATGATGCCCCCTGACCTGGATGCTTCTGTAAAGCAACAGCTACTCAAGGTGCCAGAGCATCAGTTCCGTGTCATCCTCCAGAGCTACATGATGAATCTGCGTAGGAATAACGGCGGTATGCCCAATGGAGCATTCCCAACTGGACAGCCGAATGCAGGCCAGCCAAACATGGCCTTCAACCAGCAACAACAACAGCAGCAGCAGCAACAACAACAGCAACAACTGCAGCCTGGCGTTGCTGGTCAAATGCTTGGCGGTCCTAATATGCAGAATATGGTCCGACCTGGTATGAATCTCGCACAGCCACCACCTGGTACTGGTCCTCAAAATCCCATGGGTGCCCAGCGCGGTCCTATGCCGAACCAGCAACAACGTGTTGCTGCTGCATCCAACCTGCTCCGTGCGAATCCCGGAATCATACATACCACCGATCCTAAGCCATTCCCTCCCAACGTGCTAAACGCGCAAATTCGACAAAGTCTTCCACCAGACGTCAGAACTTGGCAACAACTCAAAGCCTGGGCTAGTCAGAACCCTGCTCTCGTGCCTGGCGTTGACGGTCAAAAGTTACTCATGTTGCAAGTTCTACATTTCCAGGACATGGTCAGGCAGTCGAATGGCGTCGCTGGCATCCATCCGACACCACAGCCTGGCCAGGGACTCGTCCCACCAGGGCAGATCAACCCAAATCAAGGCCCTGTGAGGACACCTCAGCAGCAGCCGAACATGCAGAACATGGCGGCACTTCAGGTCACTCCTCAAGAGTTGCAGCAGTTCCGCGCAAGAATGGTTGGCCAGCCACAAGCTAACCTGCCAGACGACCAACTGCGCGGCCTTATGATCTCCATAAGGATGAAGAACCTCCAACAGCAGAGACAGCAGCAACAGCAGCAATCTGCGATGCTCAACCAACAAGCTCAACGTAACCAAGCCCAACCTACCGTCCCCATGGCTGTACAGCAACAACCACAGCACCAGCCCAACCGACCACCTGCGGCGCAACCGCAAACACAAGCGACGCCCCAGCCTAAACCAGCGATGAAGCCACAGCAAGCACAACCCACACAGTCGCTTCCCAACAACAATGCCAATAACAACAATACTGTGAACAAGGGTACGAAGAGGTCACATGAGGACACCATGG